ACATAGGCCAAATTTTTTAAATTTAAATTTCAATACAGTCATGTGACAGGTGATGGAAATATAATCTGAGAAATATGTTATTAGACAATTTCATCCATGTGTATCACAAAGTACCACACAGAGTGCCGACTTCTAAATGCAAACTGAAAAGGTGTACATCAGTCATCTGGGATGGCCCCTTGATATAATCCAAATACGTAGTTAAACATGAGATACATGAGGCTACAACTGGCATAGCAGCACACTGTTTTACAGTAAACTCTTTTATATAAGTAGGATTATGCTCTAAAGGATGAAAAGCACAGCATGTTATGAGAAGTACCTAAAACAGTAACAGTCATTTATCACACTATTGAGTACTGTGTACTGTACATAGTTGTAGGTGCTTCTTCTGGAAACACCCTTCTCTCCTTTGATCTCAGTGATTCTTCCTTCCCAACCCACTGATGAGCTCCAGCCTAGTCTCTGTCTACATCTCTTCCTATAGTTTTAAACACAATCTATATATGGATTCTTTCCAGGTTCCAGCCTGTAACTCTGATCTCTCTCCTTCCCCTCCTGCCATCCCTACCCCTTTGAACCTTTTCTTCGTATTTCAAATTATCCATTATTCGTTTTAAGCATTTTAATCTTTAATTACAGTTTCATTTTCTCTCACAGTAGAGAAATGATTTGTTATTTACACATGTGTGTCCTGTTTATTTCACTTAAGAGCATGGCCTCAATATGCATCCATTTAACAATAAATTTCTCTAGTTTCTCATTCTTTTGGGCTGAGTAGTACTCCATTTTATTAAAAAACCACATCTTCTTTATCCAGTCTCCAGTTGATGGGCACTTGGGTTGTTTCCAAGCTTTAGCAATTGCAAACTGTGTCGCTATAAACATGGGTGCACATGTATCACTGTGGTATGATTCTAAGTCTAGTTCTTTGAGGTATCTCCGTAGTGATTTCCACAGTGGTTGCACCAGTCTGCACTCACACCAGCAATGGAGAAGGGTTCCTTTCTCCCCACACCCCCACCAGCGTTTGTTATTGGATGGTTTCTTTATAACAGCCATTCTTTCTGGGGTGAGGTGGAATTTCAGTGTTGTTTCCATCTGCATCTCTCAAATAACTAGTGATGTTGAACATTTTTTCATGTATTTGCTGCTTTTACTTCTTTGTCTGAGAAATGTCTGTTCATTTCAGATGCCCATTTTTGAATTGGGTCTT